GTCACATTATCCAGCAAATGGTGAAACAAGCCGCACCATTTTGTGAACCAGGTGCACCACTTTAAGAATGAGGTGTTCATGTGCAAAAGTTTCTTTGGGCACATTCACAGGAATGGTGTTGCTGAATTTTAGGAAATTTTAATGTTTAGCTTTCAGATGAAACACCAAACTGTTATCAAAAGCAATTTTACTAATTCACACTTCCACCAGCAATGTGTAATAATTCCTTCTAATTTATATCCTATCAAGCCCTACTTCTTGTTTGACTTAATTATTGCCAATGTACCATGTTTTCATTATTTTCCTGTCTTTCGAAAATTTTTTTTACTCACTGATTATCATTTACTTTTAGACACTTCATAATTAACTTATAAAGTTGAAAAATAAATCCAGTTGGAATCACCTTGGAAAATGCAAGAAATCAACAGTTTGAGTACTTTCTTCTTTATAACCTTAGTTCCCCCTCTCTGGCCCCAGAACATGGCATGTTTCATTTTATTCTGATCTTCATCACCTTCAGTAAAATTTTACTTACATTGACAAACCATATGACCAAGTATTCTCCATTTGTAATATTGAGATAAAAATTCCTCCTGCCTCATACGATGGCCAGGAGGGTGAAGATAATGACCTCAATGCACTCATTATATGCTCTACAAAGGTTAAGTTTTGTTGCATATGATTATGCACACATACACTTTGAACTGATTTTTAGTGTTTATCCCAAGGCATTTTACATTATTCTAAGAAAGATAATTTTGGGGCCGGCCCTGTGGCACACTCGGGAGAGTGCGGCACCAAGGCATTTTACATTATTCTAAGAAAGATAATTTTGGGGCCGGCCCTGTGGCACACTCGGCAGAGTGCGGCGCTTACACATACACTTTGAACTGATTTTTAGTGTTTATCCCAAGGCATTTTACATTATTCTAAGAAAGATAATTTTGGGGCCGGCCCTGTGGCACACTCGGGAGAGTGCGGCAAGCGCAGCGACGCTCCCGCCATGGGTTCGGATCCTATATAGGAATGGCCGGTGCGCTCACTGGCTGAGCGTGGTGCGGGTGACACCACACCAAGGGTTGTGATCCCCTTATCGGTCACGAAAGACCAAAAAAAAAAAAGATAATTTTGCCAATTCTTTCCTAATGGGCTATTGTTTATATCTTCTACAGAAACCTATTGATTTGTACATTTACCTTGTAATCAGCCACATCTCTGATCACTTTCCCATGTAAACAACCATGCTTTTGTTGTAAAGAGATAAATTTTGCCTGTTTCCTAACGTTTCCTTTTTCTTTATTTTTTATTTCTTTTCTAACATTTATATTTATATTTGATTGGTCTATACTTCTTTGCAATTCCACTTTCCAGTTTTAATTGCAGGTTTTGCTAGCCCTGTAGAATGAATTGAGAAGGTCTCAATATATTTCTATAGAATATTGTAAATAAAATAAAGGAATTAACTATTTCAAAGTTTCAAGAGAGTCTGTAAAATGTCTCTGCTGTATGCTTTTGGAGCATGGATTTCTGAGTATCCTTTCAAGATCTTCTGGAGATTGTTTATCTATAAAAAATGTTTACTTATACCAACTTATATTTTCCTAATTGTAGAAAGCAGAAAAAGAGCACAGACATATTTAGCAGCATTTTATGTTTATTATAGAACTATATTAACACATGTAATAAGATGAATTATTTTTCTTCCAGAAAATACACATGGGTGGTTGACTGAGTCCCTGCATGTCTGCAAATGCTAATTGTCATCATAGTTGAAAATCAATTTGGTTAATATAGAAGTCTATATTCAAAACTTACATATCTTAGAATTCTGTCAATATTTTTTCATCACATTATGAAGATGAACTCATGAAACATTTATTGAGGCCACTTTGGGCTGCACTCTTCAAGGCACACAAGATACAGTGTCTTGTATCTCTTGTGAGAACAAAGCAGACAAAACCCCCCTGCCCCAGTGGAGCTGACATTCTAGCCATTAAGGAGAAGGGGTGATCAACACACAAATTCATAATTACAATCTAATGGTGCCCTGGGTTCTAAGTGCAAAATAAAGTAAATCTGGGAAAGGGACAGGGAGAACTATATGGGTGGTATAGGAAGAGTGCTTTGGGTCTCATGGCAGCTTTTGGGAAATGGGCAGATATGTGCCAGGAGGAGTCACAGTGCCAAGTTCTAGGCTCTGCTTCCTGGATTTCCTTTTTCTTCTGTATCTTGGCTTCCTTATCTTCACTGCCCTGTTAGCACTCTGATACTTTCAAATAGATTTTCTTTTAGTATTTTGTCCAAATCGAGCTTATTTTTAAAGTACAATTTGTAGCAGGCACCATACTGGGGGTAGGAGAAGGGTGTTAAATGTGTGGATTCAGACTCAGACTAACTTCAAATAAATCATGGCTATGTTGCTTACTAATTTTATTACCTTAGGGAAATTATTAATCTGTATGCTTTGGTTTCCTCATCTGTAAAAGGGAGGATAAATAAGAGTAACTGAGGTCAGATGTGTCATCATGAAGGTTAAATATTTAATGAATTTAATGTAAATGCTCAGACCAGGGCCTGGCACAATAAGTGTTAGCTATATTTTTCTTACATGTATTCTATCAGAGCTTAAATACTATTGTTCCATCTTCTCATAGTCTCAATTCCTCACAATAGGTTGTGAAGTCACTGCAATCCCTTCTTCAGATCATCCAAAGATACCTTAACAGCCAGGACTAACATATATCAAGACTTATCCATGCTAAGTGTCCATATTTCCCAATTCTGTTCTCAGTGAGCCCCAAATCCCATTTCTCCAATTAAAAATTCAGCACTATCTGTGCTTTCTGCTCAATTTCTCTGTAAAACTAAAACTGCTATAAAAAGAAAGAAAAAATTTTCAGTTTGGTTAAAAAAAAAGACATCGAAAAAAGCCCAAGTTAAAAAAACATTAAAGAGCACTCTCTTAGTAACAAAAGCTAGGCAGTGAGAGGGCAGTGAAAATTATAAGTAACCTTTAAGGATCAATAGTTTTTGATGGTTATCCTAAGAAACCAACTTTTAGAAGATGAACACCACACTGGGCATTCGATGTGGTCAAAAGAGTCAAAGATATATCTTGTATTTTCATACCTTGTTCAGTAGCATGAATTTACAACCAGAAGAAAACTGTGGTGACAAGTTTTATTTCATTATTACAGGTCAAGGGAAACTGTGCTAGTGATTTTATACATCATTTAATCTTCACAATTCACCATCCCACCTTACAGATGAGGTTACTGAGGTTCAGAACTTTTCCCAATTTCAGGTAACTAGTTAAGGGTTTCAAACCAAAGCCAACACCTTAAAACTCTAAAGTTTATTTTATTCTTATGCATTTAATCTGATTAAAAATTCGAAGAAATAAAAATAAGACTACCAAGTCAACCTTTACCACTTAATCTGACATTACTGAATCTGCACGTACATATCTTCAGACTCAACCAAACACCTGGTCTTTGCGATCTACAACCGTATAAAAAATATAAACAGCAATCTTTGCCCTCAAAGAACTTGTCAGAAAAACACCGAACTGTAACGTTTCAAATATTATGAACGTGTTACAGAACAGCAAAGCACTGATTTGAAAATGTAAGCAGTTATCTAAATGTTCTTATTCTAGGGCAGGCCTGTGGCTCACTCGGGAGAGTGCGGTGCTGATAACACCAAGGCCACGGGTTCGGATCCCATATAGGGATGGCCGGTTTGCTCACTGGGTGAGCGTGGTGCTGACAACACCAAGTCAAGCGTTAAGATCCCCTTACCGGTAATAAATAATAAAATAAATGTTCTTATTCTTGACCACCACGTGTTTTGTCTATTATGCTTACCAATGTTGAGAAATAGAGAACAAAGAGAAAAACATTTTCATAATGAACTGCCGATTATACCAACCTTGCCAAAGAGTCCAACTATTCATTCAGTGTTGAAGGCTGTAAATTTTTACTTGCTTAATAAAATTTAGGTATCATAAGAAATATTTACTAAAACAACGTTTACCACTAGAAGCGAGGGTCAGACAAACGGCTTTTCAGAGACTAGGTTGATTGGCCAGAGCTCATCAGGAAAGGAGCGCTAGTCTACAGAGAGAGAGAACAAAGACTACCATTCCGAATCTCCTTCACTGCCTTAGCAAAAAATAAAACAACAAAAAGATCAAGACTTTCAAGTACAAGCGTTTTGCAACTTCTCTCATTTTTGTCCATCTCGTTGGGGAACGTCACGCAAACTCCCCTGGAGGCCCTTACCTCCTTCTAACGTCCCATTTCACTGTCCCTAGAGTTATTTTCCCCCTTCTTGAATGATGGTGAACACAACACGTGGTAAAATAAAGCAAAACAACATTCCGACTCTGTATCAATTTTCATTTTAACTGCCGAAAATCTGATTCGGAAAACCTCAAGCTCGGATTCTCACAAGTCGCTCCTGCCTCGGAGCAACTTCAGCTCCAGTTACCGCTAATTCCGGTCCGACCCAGCAACCTCGGCGCGCTGGACAGGGCATTCCAGCCCTCCCTCCCACGGTCCCTCCCCGCTCAGACTGTCTTCACCTCCTACATTCTCGGCTGAGGCGCTCACCACCACCCGCGATCAAAAAGTCTTTCCTTTTGGGGGAAGGGGGAGATGAAGGTTCATTTCTGGAAAAATCTGAGCACTCGGAGCTCGAGGAAGCTGCAAGAGGAGGTCGTTCGAAGGGTCGGGAAGGCGGCGGAGAGCTCAGCACTACCCATCAAAATCCTTGCGCCAAGAGATCGCGGAATCGCCCCCTGGCCTCCGCTGCAGCCTAGAAATTTTCCCTCGCACCCCTCGCCAGGGTGGGAATGGGGGATCCAAGGTCCGGAGGATGACAAGGGGAGCCCCCTACGGCCTCGGTCTCGAGGAGCCGGGAAGTGAAAGGAACAAAGCCGCGGCCGCCCATGTCCCCGGATGGCCGGGCGACCCACGGGAGCTGGGGGGCCCGCTTACCTGCCGTCAGCAGCTGCATGGCGTGAGTGAAGGACGGGTCGAGCGAGTCCTTCTCGGCCATGAGTTCTGGCAGGTGCTTGTTCTCAGGCTCCATCTTGACGGAGGCCGTGGCTGAGGGGGGCAGCAGCGGGGTCGGCGCTGGACCGCCCACCGTCGCGTCGGGACCCGTGGCCGAGGGCGGCAGCAACGGTGGCGGCTGCGTGGCGGGCGAGGCCCGGGCGCCACCCCGGGGCCCCCCTCCGCCTCCACGGGACCGGTGAGGCAGCGGTGGCTGCCGAGACGGTGTCTGACGCACCGAGGGGTGGGCACCTGAGGGGTCCATGGAGCCGCTGCGGCCCGAGGATCGGCTCATGCGAGCGGCGGGGTCGTCTCGGCGCTGCATCGAGGAGGGTGCGCAATCGAGAGATCGAGGAAACGGCGCGGCAGAGACCCGAGCGGCAGTTGGCGGGGGTGGAAGAGCGGGAGCGAGAGCGACCGAAGCGGACCCGACCGACGCAGCGAGAGCGAGCACCGGAAATGAGGCGGCGCGCGTGCGCAACCGACCCACCGGCACCGCCCTTAAGTTTCTCCGCGGAGAACAAAGTCCCCCGTCGGCCCACGGCGCCTGCGCACCGCCCCGGAGCCTGAATAAGTCGCCTCCCGGCTCGCCTTTTCCCTCCGAGCCGGCCAGGCCAGAGCTTGGTGCGCGTGCGCAGGTGGCCGCGGCGTTTGTTCGTTTCCTTTTCCACGTGACTCCGCGCTAGCGGGACACGTGTCTCCTCCCCCTTCTGGCCCGCGCGCAGAGGGGGCGGGGGCTGTGGAATGTCTTTGTCTGAGCGCGGGCCCGCGGAGTGTGGGGCGGGGGACCACTTACTCGCGGGTCACGCCCCCTCCAACAGCTGAGCTCCGGTTGGGAGCTGTGCTCACGGGAGTGGGGGTGGGGAGTGGAGTTAGGGGATCGGTCACCGAAGTAAGGAAATAAAGGGAGAGCGGCGTGGAGAGTGCGGGAGGGGTAAGGGGAGGGTATTGAGGCCGTCTGAGCAGGAAGCAAGGAAGGAGGGAGGGAGACTGCCTGATGAGGGAGGGGGAAGAGACCGAGCTCAGCGCAGGGACAAGAGGGGAAGCCTGAGGTAGATAGAGTATGACGCAGGGGGGAGTGGTGGCGACGGGGAAGGGGAGGGCTGGAGGGAGAGGAAGGACGGCTCCGTGGGAAGACGGAAGGCTTCGGATGGTGACCTGAACCGTAGCAAAGAAAAGGGCCCCAGACCAAAGCAGGGAACCAACAAGTCGAATCCCAAGATTTCCAATATAGTAGGTTCTAAAACGCCAGCCATTGTTGTTTAGAGAAATCTTTTTTTTTTTTTTTTTGTGGCTGGCTGGTATGGGGATCCGAACTCTTGACCTTGGTATTGTCAGCCTGGAGAAGTCTTTTTAAATGAAGCAGCATTTTAGCTCTTTTCACATATTCTACTGCTTTCTGCTGCCTTAAGTGTTTCTTCCGCAAAAAGTGAGCTAGACGCCGGGTCCTTAATCCGTGGTGCTTGCATAAGGAGGATGGCTCCTTATATTACTGATGCGAATGCTAGTCCTCCTGCCTCCTGGAGAGAAATTACCAAATTACTCACAGAAGTGAGAACGAAACACAAATATCTACATAAATTTTACATAAAAATTATATTTAATATAAACTAATATGTTATTAATATTATTACGCTTATTATGTTATAATATATTGTTTACATATGTATAAATGCATATATAAAATCTCCAATGCTGCAGTACTTTACTTTGAGGTCACATTAGAAGTAACCCTTAGGGCCGCCCGTGGCTCACTTGGGAGAGTGTGGTGCTTACAACACTAAGCCAAGGGTTAAGATCCCCTTACCCGTCATCTTTAAAAAAAAAAAAAAAAAAAGAAGTGACCCTTGTCCACATCTTATAGTCAAGTAGGGAAAAGAATGTTTTTGAATAATTGTAATGAAGAATGTAATGTGACAAGTGCCAAAAGATGAATGAAAATTAAGTGCTATTGAAATTCAAAGCAGAAGATACATTTCAGTCAAGGGAGAACTAGTTCCAGGTAAAGGGAAGTTTGAATAAATGAGCAGAGATGAGAATGGGAGAGATGCATTTGGGGAGTGGGAGTAATCCAATTTATGACCATGAAGGGATAGGTGAGTTAAGAGAGCAACTGCATGAGGCAGGGAAAAGGAGCAAGGAGGATTTATAGCTTCCCTTGCAACTCATTTCTCCTGCCGTCCTTGAAAATCCTGCTTGGGTGATGGTGTTACAAATGGCTGAAGTGTCCTTGCTCTGTAATGGGATGCCCCGGTAGAGGTACCTTGAACGGAGGCTAATAAAACTTTGATAAAGACATGTCTGAGGAGTTGGGTAGTGGTGTCTGTATGTTTTCTAGACTAGAATCAATAGTTATGGCATATGTATATCAAAACATATTGTGCACCTTAAATATATACTACAATAGCAACAACAACAATAACACTAAAGAAAAAAACAGTCTTTCTAGGTGGCTGCCAGACCTTTACTTGCTTTCTTTGAAAGGGATTGAGAGGGAGGTATGAACTCTTCTTCCTGCTGAGAATCCAAAAGATAGTCTCTGAGGCCAGGAGTTGTTGAAGCTGTAGTGTACTTACCAAGTAAGTGATGCAGTAGCCTTACATTGTAGGACCCTTACCTGGGGGCAGGGAAGAGTAATTCCTGCCCTGAAAGCCTAGAAGTTGAGTTCATTTTGTGTTGACCACAGTATGCTGCCCTGGGTTCACCTGAAGTATGGGTTCACCTAACAGCTTTGTGAAAAGACAAACTTAAGAGGCTGGCTGGTTGGCTCATTCGGAAAGAAAAAAGAAAGAAACAATTGCAATAATACAGTGAACTTTTAAAAAGAACAGAACACAGAACTGTGGTTATTAGAGGTGGGAAAGGGGGAGGGGGAGGGAGGCTAGCAAGAAATTAGTTAAGGGTCACAAAGATTGATTACGTTTGAAACGTGAATATACTAATTATCCTGATTTGATCACCACATTTTGTACACATGTATTGATATTCAAATCTGCACCCTACAGATATATATAATCAATAATGTTTCTGTTAAGAAAAAGAGAGAGAGAACATGATGGTGTAACACCATGGTCAAGGGTTTGAATCCCTATACCAGCCAGCCACCCCACTGCCCCTGCAAAAAGACTAATTTTGGAGTGAGGCATATTCAAACCCAGCAATGCTCTGGGTTTTCTCACTTTGTAGGAAAACAACCACCTCTCTGAACCTTCTATAAAGTGGGGGTAATGACACCTACTTTGCAGGCTTGTTGTGAACAATTACAAAAACCAGTGTAAACCCCCTGACAGTAGGGTTTATTAGCAGAAGTAATTATTATTATGTCCTTTAATATCTGATTTTTTTTTTTCTTAATGGAAAGGAAATCTGATTGAGCTAATGAAGATTTTTGGGTGCTTTATGTTGACTGTGGATCTGAAAATCCTGCTCTCTAATGATTTTCACTGGCTATAGTTAGACATGTTTTGGAGAGGGGGAGGCTCTAAAAAGATAAAGTTTCTTCTACTGTATTTCCTCCCTTAATCCGGTTACTATGGTGTAGGATGCAGCAGCAATTAAGAGCATACTGATTTAGACAGAGTTCGGACTTGCCTCTTTCTTGCTAGGTGAATGAGCATATTACTTAACTTTGCTCGGCTTCCACTTCTTTCTCCTTGATATAGCAGCAGTAATAACAATTCTTGCCTCAAGGCTGTTAGGGTTTGCTATGGTTTGAATGTGTCTCCCAAAGTTCATGTGTTAGAAACTTAATCCCCAATCGAACAGTGCTTAGAGGTGGAACTTTAAGAGGTCACTAATGCCATTATTGCAGGAGTGGTTTAGTTATCTTGGGAGTGGGTTTCTGATAAAAGGGTGTGGGTTTGCCATAAAAGTTTGACCGCCTTTCCTTTTTCGTGCATGTACTCTTGCCCTTCTGCCTTTTTGCCTGGGAGGACGCAGCAAGAAGGCACTTGCCAGATGCCAGCACCATTCCCTTGGACTTCCCAGCTTCCAGAACCATGAGCCAAATAAATTTCTTTTCTTCATAAATTACCTAGTCTGTGGTGTTCTTTTATAGCAACACAAAACAGACGAAGACAGGGCTAAAAGAGATAGTGTCTCTATAGCCCTTAGTACAGGGGCTGGCAATTGGTAGGTGCTTGGTAAGCCCTAGTGGCCACTGTTATTATTACTACACACATTTATTGAGTGCCTTACTGCAGACTTTCACTTTCACATGAGTCCCTAAAGGAGTGGCTGGAAGTATTGAAGTTTGCCTGTAGCTGTCTGACTTGTGTGATCTCCACAGATGGGAAATCTATAGGCCCCATCTACCTCCCTTGCATCGCAGCCAGTTCCTGGGAGAGAAAGGGCTCCAGCCCTGGGCAGGAGAGTTTGTCTTCCAAGAGTGAAGTTCATCTGTTCAATCTTAAACACGTACTTGGTACTAAATATTTGGAGGGAGGGGGAAAAAGACAGGGAGACCAAAATTCAACACTGAGTAAGAGAGAGTCCTTGCTCTGAAGGAGCTTACTGTTTAGTAAAGGAGACAAATATATAAGCCAAGTTGGCATGTAGCCCAAAAAGTGTTGTAATACAGGACTATACAAAGAGCTATGGGAATGCACAGGAGGTAGTGACTGACCAATTGCCCAGATGAGTTAAGGTCTTTGGGAAGTGGCCAGGTGCAGTGGGCAGGGCATTTAAATGTTGGGAGTTCAGCAGAGTTTGATCCCCTATATTCCCTCCTCCATGTTCACAGCTCTGGAATTTAGATTTCTAGCTCAAACTTCTGAGTTCCAAGTCCAGACAGTCAATTGTATCCCTGACATCCGCATTTGGATGTCTCAGAGGCCCTTCAATCTCAACATGTCCCCAATAGAACTCAAACCACAGGCACTAACAGTGCTGCTCAATGCCCATGTGACATAATGTAGCTCCTCTTTCGTGGAGCCTTTACTCTTTCCAGGCCTGCTGAGCACCTCAGGAACATCAGCAAAACTTAAGGAGGCACTCACTTTCAGGGCCCTGCCCATGCCTGCCTCCCTTATTTTCGTCCCGGTGCTGCCCTTACCATTCCCACAGTAGCCCATTTGGTAAGGGCAGTGTGCAGGGGCAGAGGGGGTCAGAGCACAGCTGATGTGCCCAGTGACTATGGCCCCACTGCTTTGTCTGACAGCCACTTCTGAAAAGTCCCTAGAAGCATCCCAGAAATACTTGAAGGGACCTCTGGAGGGGCAAGAACAGGACTCTTGGATGATTCATATTTATGTTCATGAATCCAAAGGCCATTGAGGCCTGTGTGATAGTTGGATTATAATTATCTTTTTTTCTGCCTGTCCTACTAACCAGAAAGTGAGCTGCTTGTGGTCAGGAGCCATTTCTATCTTTGTATAGACCAAGGCTGGAACAGAGTAGGCATTCTGTAAATGTACGTTGACTCA